AACAAGGAGATAGCGACTTTTGTTTAACTGACTTTTTGGGAAAGGGCCCAATAAATCGATGCCAATTATTTCATTTGGAAATTCGGATTTAATACTATTTAGAAACCCGGCCGGGCGGAAATTAATATAATTAACGGCTTGACATGTTGGGCAGGACTGGACATACGCCCTTGTTAACTTTTGCAGTTCAGGAAATTAGACTGCCTCGCGTACGCGTTGGATAGTTTTTTTCGAATACCAGCATGAGAAGCTAAAGGGCTGTCATGGAGCTCCTGCAGGATATTTAATCTAAGACTAGCTGGGATAACAGGTCGAAATTCGTTGTTGGAATTCGTAGTTTTTGTATAAAATAATAGACCATCTATTAGTTCGTAATGGGGGCCGCCCTATTTCTTATCGCCACAATATCTTGGTGGCTAAAATTTTCAGGATCCTTTAAATACTCATAAATACTTCCAAACTCGGGATCCTTACCCAGTTTCGGTTATTACAGTTTCTCGGGAATTTATTGTACATGCTGTGAGCATTGCCACCTTTTATGGTATTACCTTGTTCGTCTATTTTAATTCTTGACAGGGCATCTGCTACGATATTTTCCTTTCCGGGGTATGCTTGATTACCAGATTATATTCTTTCTTGCAGCTTGAGTGCCCATCTTATTAACCTTGGGGATAAATTTTTTCCCTGAGTACAATCTAGTTACCGCCGCATGATCAGAATACACTGTTATCGGCGCCTTTCCAAATAGACTCGGAACTTTTGCACTGCTAACAGAACTGCAAGTGCCTCTCTCTCGGTCGCGGAATAGTTTCTTTGTGTTTGATTTAAAAGTTCGGCTAAAAAATGCCACGGGCTGCTGATTTTGCGAAAGTACCACTCCTCCTACCGCATAATCCGAAGCATCCGCTGAAATTTCTAAATTCTCATCCTTTTCAGGAAATTTCAACACAGGGGCTTGCGTTAATGCTTGTTTTAATTTTTCGAAAGCACTATTGGCTTCGGCCGTCCACGAGAATCTTGCCTTTTTCCTTTTTTAATTTTAACAATGGCTCAGCGATAGCTGCAAATCTTTTATAAGGACCTTATAATATGAACAAAGTCCTAGAAAAGAAGAGAGCTTCTTTGCCGTGTTTGGAGTTGGATACTTTTGTACACAGCGATTATTTTTGATTCGTCTGTCTCGATCCCCTTTTTGAGATATTTTGTAACCTAAATATTTTAATTCAGGGGCTGCAAATTTGCACTTTTTTTTTCGACATTAACTTTTAGAGACCGGCCTCATTTAATAAAGAAAACACCTGTCTTAAATCCTGTACATGTTGGTCGAGATTATCACTAGTAATAATGATATCGTCTAAATAGATAAATGTGGACTTTCCAAGAACAGGTCTTAACACAATGTCCATGCATCGCTGAAATGTTTTGGGGGCCCCTGAAAGGCCAAACGGCATACGCAAAAATGCATAAGTGCCAGACTTGGTTTATAAAAGCAGTCTTAGGCACGTCCTCAGGCCTAACCCCTATTTGAAAAATAACCAGTCGTTAAGTCTAAAGTCGTCATAAATTTGGTTGATTTTATGTTCCTTAAAATTTCTTTCTTTCTTCTATATCGGTAACGGATATACCGGATATTTAGTTATGGATTTAATTTACGGTAATCAATAGCGAATCTCCACCTTTTTGGATGCTCCAAAGGATATCATTATTTTTCTTACATAAAACCACCGGGCTAGCATAACTACTTGAGATAGGCGTTATGATCTTTTTACGTAGCATATCGGTAATATGCCATTCTATAATTTTTTCCTTATTCTTATCATACCGGTATGGTTTTTGACGAACTGGCAATTGCAATCTCCGGTGTCAATACTATGGTTAGTAACCTGAGTAAATCCTGGAATATCACTAAATAAGGAAGCAAATTCACTTACCACTTGTCGGATTTTTCCTTGCTCGTCATTAGGCAGGTGGTCAAGATTTAACCATCGGCGGTTCAGCCTTTTCAGTACACGAACTGGTTTCGTTTCATTGTCAGCTTAAGGGACGCTTCATTAAAATCCATGTTGCTTGTGCGTCTGAAAGGAAATCTATTCCTAAGATTAAATGTGCTTGCAGATTCTTTACTATAAAAAACATCACCTTCACTTGTTCGTCCTTGATACGGATATACAAAGGTACTTTACCTACGCACTTACATTTTTCTCCTTGCGCCGCTAACACTGTCGTATTATCCGAATTATATATGCAGTATTTCCGAAAATACTTCCTAAAAAAGTCTTCTGCCACACAGGAACACTGCGCGCCGGTATCCAGGAGTGCGGTGGGTGGGATATTATTCACGAAGACTTCAATCTTCGGAAGAGTCAGATTTTTCACCATTACTGTATTTAACTTGTAGGAAGAGGGGTTTTCGTGACCTTCGGATTTCCGCACCCTCCCGTCAGCAGAAATCCGTTTTAGTTTAAATTATTTTTCATTTCCGTGCTTTCCTTCTTTCCTTCTTTTTCCCCTGGCCTTGAGACTTTTTTCCTGGATTGCTATTGAACTGTCAACGTTCGCCGGCTGTTTTTGAATGCTCGGGTTTCCTTGCCCACTGATTCGCTTTTTCTCCGTAGCCGTGTGCTTGAGTTTACTGTGGTCTTGGCGTACCAAATTGGTTTCGCTGTTGATATTGGCGTCTTCTTTCGACGTCCACCGTTCTTCTACTTTCAAACTGGATTGCTAGCTGAAATAACTTTTCCAGTGTAGTCGGATTTCTTAATTCAATAAAGTCTTGCACTTGGGGCAGTAACCTCGGCAAAAATCACTTGAATTATTTCAGGATCCGGACGGTTTCCATACAAGAGTTTTGAAAACGTGAATTTTTCTTAAAATAAAGCTCGAGAGGTTTTCGATTCTTTGTTGATATATACTGAAAAGTTCCTGTTTCTAATTTCGCACGATCCCTTACAACAGGGAAGGCTTTTAGTAGGGCAGTCTTGAAATTCTCGTAAGTATAGGTGGGACTTCCTGCTTGACCCCAAGAGACTTCTTCTGCCTATACATTTTGAACCAGTTAAGCGCTTGGCCCCTCAAAGCGCTGGTAGCTAAGGTAACTTTTTTGAAACTCGTGCACGGGGTAGAGCATGAAGTGGTCATCCAATTTTTCCAAAAAACTGGTTACCGGTGAGTTTCCATTAAATGTTGCTTCTGGTTTCATCGAAGCGCGCATGGTCTGGACGATGTAACCAAATCCTTCCAGGGCGGCAGCTGGCATTTCTGGATTCTGAGCCTTTTTCTTCTGCAGGCAGCACAGGTTCTTCTTGAAACTCGGCCATGGTTATTCTTCGTTGGGCGCCACTATCAGGGTCAATGTTTCCTTCTTACCTTCTTCGGGAACATACAAGGACCTGACTCGGAACAGAGAGCTTACTAAAGCTATGTTCACTAATTGTGGGTAAGTAGACAGGATACAGACGAAGGGTATACAAAACCCTTTATTTTTTTCTCTATATACAATAACTTTCCGTACTTCGGAATACAACTGACCCGCTACTTGGGGTCTAACGTAAAAGTATAAAAATAAAACTAAACTCTAATTTAACTTTAGAATAATAAACGTGGAAGATTGGCCTTATAATAAAACAGGAAGCGTATGTAGTACAGAGACTGTGAACACTACAATACGTTTAAATTTATCAAGAGGATTAAAACCTCTGGCCTGGAAGGCAAACAGCAACTGCGTAACTTCTAAGGTAAGCGGCCTGCTTTGACTCACTGCTTCCTCTCTCTCTCTCGCTTGGCAAAAAGGCCACAACTTAAATACTTGGCGTTCGCCAGACAAACTTTGCATAAAAACCTTAACGCTTATAATTCTGGCCGGAAGTAGAAAATAAGAAGTGATAGTAAAGATTTAAAATAAAATAAACGTTAGTAAAACTTAAGATCCTTACAGCGTTACTTGCATGTTCTTGTAAAGATCAAGAAATGTGTGCATTTTGAACAAAAGAAAAACCTGCGTCTTGGTTTATAGAGCTTGTATTTCTGTTGCCATCTCCAGTTAAAAAAATCTGGTAAGTGGAACTTTATAATCTTTTACACATAATTAAATAATTATAACATACATTAATTATAAAGTAATTAATGTATGTTTACTTAACAATGTATTGGTTTTGCGCTAAAGTGTTAAAATGATAAGAATTCATGTAATGCATTTTTAAAGTTAAAAAAATCTATTAATGGTTTTTGAATCATTGTTGTACATTTCTAGAAAAAATAAGATTAAACTGACAAGCTTTCTACATCATTGGCGGTCTAGATATATCATGATTATCACACTTCTAAATTATGCAAGAAAATGTGATACTTTGTGTGGGAAATGCCAAAATATTTATTTGTTCTGAACTTGATTTTCCGTTGTTTTGACTTTTAAATAATCCACATTTAAATATTTATTTTTAAGGTGGAACTCACTGCTGAATTCAGCAACAAACACGTTAAATATAATTATGTTTGCCCCCCCCCACCTTTTTACACACTTCATATAGTAAAAATAAGTAATCAATCCTTCCTCCTTGAAATTTCTGATTTTGTTTAGCCCCCACCCCAATTTTAGTACAAAGCAAAATCATTTACAACTTTTTCTCTTTTAATAAATATTTTAACTGTCATTTTGCAGTAACAGTTTTAAAAATATAATAATCAATTATCTAAGCTAACCATTTAAGATGTAACTCTTTAATAACATTGGCCAAAATACCATCACTGTTGCCACGCTACCTGGAAAATCAGAAAAAGTCATGGAATTCAAAAATTCACCCAAAAAACTCGGGGAATTTTAAAATCTTAGTAAAAATCTGGAAAAATCAGGGAATTTGACATGACAGTTCCAGAAAAAGTGAGTTTTGCACCAACGCTGAAAGCGATCACTTTCTTGGCAAATTATGTATTGCATGAGCATCATTCGGGCAGCTGGTGTTGAGCCAATTTTTGCAGCTCCAATCAAATTCCCTTTTAGAAAGGCAAAGCAAGTTTCCAGCAACTTTGGTTTCCAGTACATCGAGAGACTTGCATGTGCAGGGTTGGGCATGTTGAACTAAAGAAAATACCTTACCATTCTCATATAAAAGAAAAATGGTTTAAACCTCTGAGTGTCAGGATTTTAGATCCATCATGAAGACCAGTATTTAAACAGCATTTAGTAATTGAGTTTGTATAATTACTTATTTTAGTCTGCATTTTCATAAACTTACATTCATTAATATGATATTTACATTATTAAAGAAAGTAAGATAGCAAAATATCTTAAATTATAAGCTAATACAAGTATATATTAAGTAGCAAAACTTCTGATGACCAGATAAACCCGGTCATAATGCTCAGAGGGTTAACACATCAAATCAGCTAACAAAATTGGTTAGTATATGGTACACATGGGATTTGGTGACATGATAATGAGCAGTAAATGGGTCGTTTTGTTGTTGGTGACAGTTTTCAAAATCATGCCAAGGCTATAGCATATACTAGGATTGTTAATAAGTGAGATCCTTCAGAAGAATGATGGTCTATAATCAATTATAAAAGTTTATTCAACAATGGAAAGGCACAGGGATCAAAGTTGTACATTCTTGTGTTAGCACTGATGTCTATTAGTATGTTTATTAATAAAATGTCTGATAATTTACCGCACTCATAACTGAGTAGTTTCAATGCATGCAAGTTCTTTCTTAAACAGTCTAGTAAGTCACGCAATTCTTTTGCTAATTCCCATTTTAACTTTGGATGACTCAGAATATTCCGAATATGAGTATCTACTAAAATTCTTTTGTTTTCTTATCTTTCCTCCAGTGGTTTCATCAAAGATTCGCAAGTGTCATCTGTTGTTTCGATCTGCTTTGCTTTGTCTTTTAAACATGTACACAAATAAAAAACTTTTCGAGAGTTTGATAAATGAAGATTATAAGAAATAAGATTTTGAAATGCAATTTTAAATGCATTAAAATCTTCATAACGATCGGAAAATTCTGGTAATGGTATTTGCGTCAATGGGATTTCGACTGATTTCGACCTTGCCGTATTAACTGCTTTCTCTGTTATTTAATGTACCATCTGATAATTCTGATAATGAAGAAATGAGGTTTAAAAGATTTACCTCATTTTTTTCTATTCTTGAGTCCATATCTGCAAGATCCTCATCTATTTCTTGTAACTCTTCATCTTTAGCTTCTTGATAAAATTGGTTCTGCAGATCTTCTAAGTCTTTAGTGAATTTCCTCGTGCAATTCAATTTAATATTTGTTTCCACTGCTGAAGGCGGCGCATTAAGGTGATATTGTGGATAAAACTTTCTACTTGTGTGATTTTCATTTTCAAATAAGCTTTCTATCTTTTAAGATATGCTAACGTCATTTTAATCTGCTCTCCGGGTCCTTAAGGACCAAGTGTTAAAGAGTGAGATCCGTCGAAAGAATGATGGACTGTAACTAATTATAAAAGTTTATTCGACAATGGAAAGGCACAGGGGCCTTAAGGATCAGTTGTACGCTCTTGATAGCACTGATGGCTATTACAAAAGATGGGGTAGGATTCCAAAGGAACAACTGCTCTGCTCACGGTCTACAGAGGTTCTGCTGGTTTAGTGGGTGGTGTCACAGCGCCCTCTAATGAGATAAATGTTACAACAATAGGATGAGATGGAACAAGAATTTTACCACAAAATCTTTTAAACTTTTTTTTTATTTTAATAAATGCCTTATTTGTCATTTTCCAGTAAAATAAAAAAATAATTATTAAGAAAAGACAGTCATCTAGGCTAACCATTTCATATAACTATATTCGCCAAAATAATCGTTGATTATCGTAATTCAGTTTTTAAGTAATTAGCTTTGTTTTAATGTTATTCATACCGTTTAATTTGTCTCCTTCCCTCAAAATTTATTTGTTATTAGCTAATAATACTTTCAAATTTCAGGCAGTTTTTTGTGGAATAATCTTGAAACTAATTCTACAGGCATGAAAGTTTTCCGCGTATTCACGGAATTCCGCTTTTTTGAACGTCACCCGGGCTGCTGCTGAGATTGATGCAGAACTGTTGAGAAATCGCGACCGGCAAATTTGTGTGTGTGTGTGTGGGGGGGGGGTTAAACAGAGGACACACTCTCTCTCTTCCTCTTTTCTTTGTAAAAAAACTTTTCATCATGCCAGAGATCATGAGATACGTTATTTTACATCAAGGCGAAGTAGGTGGGACTTATGTGGAAAGGCGGAACTAGATGCATACGAATATCTAATCAAAGAAGAGCAAGCGAGAGTTGCTTGAGCGATTGGTTCTGGCGCCATCTGTCGGACATACGGATAACCACTTGCATTCTCCAGTACACAAAACTCTATGTAAAAATTTAAGGAATGCTCATAAACTGTACAAAGAAGAGCTAGAGATAAAAGAGGAGGAGCGAGAATCTAAGAAAAAAAGCAATTAAACATTGCAGAAAATAAAGAAGAAAATAAAAAAGTATCAATGGATTGTATAAAAGCTGCTGGAAAGAAATTAACTAGCTCCCAACGAATAGAAAAGTTGCTGCAAAAGTACAAAAAGAAAAGCTTTTTCTAAAATTTTTAATCAGATCGAGGAGACAGAAAATTTAAATTCCTCCTTTACTATTTATTTGTCTATATTTCCACATACACTTTTTTCTTTCATTAAGAAATTTTTGAAGTCATACGAGGTTGGAACTTTAATAGTGGCAACACAGCTGAAAAAACGCTACGCAACAAAACCAAAGAATATCGCGTATACCACACGTAAACTACATACCTACCTTACCTCTCAGCAAAAAGACTCGTCCTGCCTACGTCACGCGCATGCGGAGTGACGCGAAGAACGGATCCTTGTATTAGCTCGCGGTCTAAAGTAAGTGTTGTCAGGATGTTTTCAAAACAAGAACAACGATGTTGGATAAAAATTGAATGTGCCAGAGGTCGTACAGCACGACAGTGTCATCAAGGGCTTCAAGAGGCTTGCGGGGAATCTGCATTGCCTTACAGAACCGTAGCAAGATGGGTGAAAGCATTCAATGAAGGACGCCAAAACGTGGCAGACATGCTGCGGCCAGGTCGTCCGAGTGTCAGCGATGCAGACGTGCAAGCTGTTGCCGCACTAATGGACAGTGATCGCCGCCAAACGATTCGTCAGCTGGCCGGACAAACAGGATTAGCGCATACGACTGTGCTGCACATTCTGAAGGAACGCCTGTCCATGAGAAAAATTGCTTCACGATGGGTTCCACATCAATTGACGGAAATGCAGAAATGGCTACGATACGATGCTGCCCGAACCCACCTGGAGCGCTATGAGCGCGAAGGAGATGCTTTTTTACGCCGTATCATTACGCTGGATGAGACTTGGGCCCGATCGTACCAGCCAGAACTGAAACGCCAATCAAACGAATGGCGTCATCACGGGTCACCACGACGTTCGAAATTTCGTCAGAACCCCAGCAATGTGAAAGTTATGGTGATTCTCGTGTACGACTGTGATGGTGTCATCCTAACGCATACCGTTCCCCCCCCACAGACCGTCACTGCGCAGTATTACTGCTCATTTTTGGAGCACAATCTCCGACCAGCTTTGAGAAAAAAACGGCGACACTTTCTGCAGAACGCTCCTCTCATTTTGCATGACAATGCTCGGCCGCATGCAGCGCAAGCTGTGACTGATTTGTTCAAGCGATGGGGCTGGGAAGTGCTTTACCATCCACCATACTCCCCAGATCTAAGCCCTTGTGACTATGACTTAATTCCTAAGATGAAGGAACCACTTCGTGGCACTCGCTTCCAAACTGTTCCTGAGATTCTTGCGGCAGTAAACCGGTCCATTCAAACTATCAACAAAACAGGCGCTGCTACAGGTATTCTGCGACTTCCACATCGTTGGAAACGGGTTGTACACAATGCTGGCGACTATATTGAAGGACTGTAAAACATGGTGACATGAATCACTTTTGTATTCCTTGTAAATAAATAGTTGCCACTATTAAAGTTCCAACCTCGTATATATATTATAATTTTTTTATCTCTAAACTGTTTGCTGGAAAGTAGTATTTCATATATGTATTTGTGTGTGTATGTTGTGAAGTATCGTTATCACTGTTAATAAGTTCATAAGAGCATCTTAAGTTAATTCATTCAACTCTTGGGATTTACTGATTTTTTTTTTTTTTTTTCTTTTTACAAGTGGAAGATAAATTAATAGCAAATAATAAGTACAAGTTTTTTTAGTTTAATTATCTGTCTATGTTTAATACTTTTTATATTAAAAGGTTATATTTTATTAAAATGGGTTTTTTTTAAGGTCCACGTGCACATTTAGTTTTTGTGTCCCCATATTGTTCAGCTTTTTTTGCCAACTTGCACTTTCATGCCTGATTCTAGCAGGATGATGATATACTACCACGGAATTTAATGCAGATATTTCTTCTTATGTATGCTGCTAAATAAAATAAAATAACTGAATTTATTTAAAAATATCATTAAATAAATTTCTTTCTTTCATTGCAAAATGTCTGAAAAAAAAATTTTTTTTAATCCAAATTGGGCAGATTCTAATCTCAGTCTTCAGTGGAGAAAACAATTCCTATTACAGTTATAATAGTAATGCTTTGGGGATTATATATATATATATACATACATATATATATGTGTGTGTGTGTAAGTCATTTGTAATTTGCAAATTTTTGTGTATTCAAGTGGTATATTAAATTTACCTCTCAGCACAGCCAACGCGTGCTATGCGGATAGAGTGAAATTTTCTTAAAGCACACCTGTAAAACTTGGAAAAGTCAGGGAATTTCATTCTCCTTTTTAAGTGTCAACCCTGTACCATTGACTTAATTCAATTTTTAATCTTTTCCCTAAGTAAACAACTTTATTTTAATGTAATTCATATAATTCGATGTGGCTTCTTCATTCTGAATTTATTTATTATTAGTTAATAATACTTTCAGATTTTGGACAATTCTTTCTGGCATACTTGTGAAGTTAATTCTATCTGTATGATGACATATCACTAAATTTAGTATACATATGTTTTACTTATGTATGCTGCTAAATAAATATGAAATACTTGAATTTCTTTTAGAATATTCTTAAATAAATTTCTTTCTTTACTTTAGCTGCAAAATGCATGCAAAAAAAGACATGTTTTAATCCAGATTGGACAAATTCTAATCTCGGTCCTTAAGAGTCTATGGTTGCAACTTACTGAAGGAGCTCCTAACTTGGCGAGATGCACATTTTGCTAAAAAAATGTCATGCTTAATAACTTGGGAAGGAGAGCATTCACAAGCTAATAAACAGTTTAAAGCATAAGAAAAATCACTTCTGTCACAATGAACTTAAAAAATGATGAAATAAAAAAATTAAAAAAAAAAAATCTGTACAGGTAAAAGAGAGTTCTGAAGCAAAGTAATCTCCGGTGCCAGTTCCTGAATCATCAAATTTGAACACCTTCATGACTAAGGACAAAGTGTTAGTTGCGGAGTGTTCACATTTTTCCTTTAATTTGTTTAATGATGCTGCTTTTCTCTTCCAGAAAATTTTTGATGATAGCAATAAAGCTATGACCATGGGATGTACGAAAATGTCATATTTAGTGTCATTTGGTTTAGCTCTGTACTTCAAAAAGATCCTCAGTTCTGATCTAAAGAACACCGAATTCATAATATCCTTCAATGAAGCTCTAAATAAAATTGTCCAGAGAGGTCATTTTTTTTTGTTGTTAGATTTTGGGACAGTGTGGGGAATGAAGTGAGCACAAGATTACTACATGTCAATTTGGGGGGGGGCATGCTACTGCTAATGACCTTCTGAGAAGTTTTTTTTAAGGTAACCTCGGAACTAGATAAAATAAAATTGCTCCAAGGATCCTGGGGGGGGGTTAAAATAAGTTTCTTCTGGCAAAAATCTTGTTTTTTTTTAATATATATATATTTCTGTTGCAGGAGTTGTACATCCATTTCTGAAATCATTTCAGACAGCTGATTCTATGTACTTCTTTCTGTACACAGCTTTCCATAATATACTAAATCAGTTTCTCTTAAAATTTGTCAAAAGTGATTTACTTTGATGGGTGAAAACTCCTACAAAATTGATAAAAAATAGATATTCTGGATCAGTCTATATATTGTAATGTTGCAGGGGTATTGCTGCTTGTATGAGTTTAGCTAAAAGTGGAATGTCTGATCTAAAGAAAAGAGAATTCGGAACTCGCTGCAGAACGTTTTTGGTTAATCAAAAATTGTTGAAAGGAGCACATTTAAATACAACTTGGTCAAACACTTTTTTTTAGACCCTAATATCATTACATCTAATAAAATTTTATGTGAGCTAAAGGATGGAGAGGTTACTGCATATACTGTATGGAAGTGAATGGATTAATTCTGCAGTTGCAGATAAATCAAAAGTGACGTTTAAGAGATTGTTATTCAGAGGTAAGGATGTTTGGCAAGACACTTTTGTTAACTATGTTGCAATGCAACTTGATCTCTTTTATAAGGACTTGATTTATACAGTACAAAGTCTGTAATCCAGACATCCATTATCCAGAATGATCTGTAATCCGGACCTCAAAGCCACAAACTTTTTTTGTATGCTTTACGCATGCGCATAATGCTTTTACACATGCGCATTGGGAGGATGTGTCTCCAGATACGTTAAAAAATGCTTGGCATAATTTATGACCAGCTACCATATTTCATGGTGAGGACCATGAAGATTATAGCTGCGAATTTGAAGGTTTTTGGACATTGCAAACTAAAGATGAAATTTTCCAGTTATTGGATTTTGTAAAGAAATGTGGAGAAGCGGTAATAAATGAAGATGATATAACAGAAGTTTTTATTGCAATCACAATGCCCCAGTCATTATTCAGTTAACAGACGGCGAAATCTGTAGTATGGTTCTAGATCCAGAAAATACTGTTTCCGATAGTGAAGAAAGTGACAGAAAAATGTTATTGAAAATGAAAAAATTTTGATTGACAAGTTACCAATCAGTCAGTATTCTCAACACAGCAATTACAGGACTTGAACAGTATTAGGACAGTATTAGGACAAAAAACAAAGCAACTTAAACAACTTATATTGAATGAAATGTTTAATAAAGTAAACAATTAAATATTAAGCTTTTTTTTTTTTTTTTTTTTTTTTTGTAAATTTTGATACCCTTTAAATCATAATTGCTCTTTATTTCATAAATTACGGTTTCATATTTTTAATTGTATAATTTCTGCATGCTATCTTACCAGATTTAAATTGATGATCTGTAATCCAGAAAATCCCATAATCCAAATCGCTGAAGTCCCGACAAGTCCGGATTATGGACTTTGTACTGTAAATCATATTTTGAAGAACTTTGGAGTGTTCTAAAGCTAGTTCTAATTGTATCACACGGCAGTGCCACTGTAAAAATTGACTTCTCAGTTAATAATGATATGCTAGTGGAAAACCTTCAGGAAAATTCATTAACATGAATGCAAAGTGTTCATTATGCCATAAAAGTAAATGATGCTACAATATGCTAGATCTGCTTGTAGTGCATATCATCAAGCATTTAAAGACAAAAAGCTAAATGATAGTGAAGATGGAAAAAATATTAGACAAAAGCAAAACACAAGCACAGATTAAAAGTTTGGAGTAAAAAAAAATTGAGCTGAGGTGTTTTTTCAATTGACTCGCAAATAGGAGAGGGTCTTATGCTAATTTTTTCTGTTAATGTTTTCTTTAAATATTCTAAATGTCTTTTTTTGTCTTCAATTCTAATCAAAAATTGCATTTAATTTTTAATATATGTGCTTATATTAAAAGTTTTTCCATCAGAAGTGTTTTGACTTCTTAAAAAAGTGCTTTTTAGAATTTAGCAATTGTCATGTTACAGAGGTTTGTTCAGCAGATATATATTGTTTAATAGGATAGATATAACTTACTGCTTCCCCATTGCCATTTTGTAAACAATAACTTGCATTCCAAAATGTATTTGTAATACTTTTTTAAACAATAGTACTATCATTTATGACATAATTTTATCACAATTAATGGTTGGAAAAAATCCAATATTTAAAACTTTATGCATAACATTGAAAATTCAATGACTTCATTTATTACTTAAATGGAATTAATTGTAAGCATTTAATTTATTTTGCAAATGTATGTTTTTATGCATGTAAAATTAATTTTTAATTTGTGTTTTTAACTAATTATATTTGTTTCAACATTTTATTACACATGTATTTCAGTATCTGTTACTGCAAATATTTCAGGTACACTAACAATCCTTCAGGTATAATATACTCTCTTCATGTAATTAAAAAGGGAATTTATTTGGACTTATTTTCTGATGTTATGGATTGCGGAAGATAATTTTAGTTTAGTATGTAAATATTATATTATAGCAAAGTTTTCTTAGTTTGGCAAAAAATTAATTTGGAAGTTACTGAGAACAACTCTTATTATAGTTATAACAATAATGCTTTGGCGATTCATAAGCAATTTTTTATGAAAGTCATGTAATTAGCAAATTTTGTTTTTTAAGTGGTACCATAATTAAATTTTCCTTAGCACAGCCAATGTGCATTATGCATCTAGACTGGAATTTTCTTAAAACGCATGGAAAAACTAGAAAAGTTAAGGGATTTCATTCTTCTGTTTGATTAGCAATCCTGGTATATTTTCTGATAACTTTGAACTTTTCATAATTTTCAGGAAAACAAGGATTAATGTGAGGGAGTACATAAAAATAGCTCTTGTTAATGCAGTTTTTGCACATTAAAGTACTAGACCTCTCATAACACTGTTTATGCAGCTGATGTTCATGTAAACCTTTACTGTTTTGTCTTAATTATACTTGAATAAATGTTTTTTAATGCAGCATAGATTATGATGGAACAGAAATAAGAAATATATTGTAAAGATACGAACTAAATTATGTATCAAATTATTGTTAGATATTTGCTATTGTACACTAAAACTTAATTCTGTCTGTTTAATTTGTAGGTTCATATAGTTGGACTGACCCACTTAGGGTTCGAATAGTCAAAGGACATCACAACTGGATTGCAGTTGCTTATGCGCACTTTGTGAGTTGTTATAGGTACGTTTTTGTCCACAAATGCACTTTTTTAAAAACATGATATCATTTTGCTACCACTTTGACGATTTTGGATACTGCATATATTAGAATTGTTTTTCATTATTTTATGCAAAAGCATATCTTCAGCTTGATTGCCTGTGTAAAAGTATTGAAAGACCGTCTCTTCTATTTGTAAAGGATTCAGGGGTATTTCTCAATTAATGTATATTGTAGTAGGAAAAATGAAAAGGCAAATAAATGCGTAGCGTATTCGGAAACTAAATACCGTTTCATTCTAGCGCCGTCGAAGCGCTGTGGCAGGCGTCCCGCGCATGCGCACTAGTCTTTCTTGTTCACTGACTTTCAATTGTCGCCATTTTGGTTGCTCTATGTTGTGTTTTCAGTTTGCTGTGCACATTCAAAATGTTTAAGACAATTAGTTCTCCCGCTGACTGTGAGATTCATGCCGTGATTAAATTTTTGAACGCGAGGAATGTTAAATCAGCCGAAATTTATTGTCAAGTGACAGAAGTTTACTGTGAATACGCGATAAGTGATGGAATGGTGAGAAAGTGGGTAAGAATGTTTAATGCAGGTCAAACAGATGTCCACGCCGAGGCTCGGAGTGTCGGCCTTCTGTTGTCACCGATGATTTTGGTAAGGAAAGTTGATGAAGCAATTCATGAGAAAGACGCTTCCAATGACAACTCTTTCAGAGGCATTTCCACAAATTTCACATACTGTTTTGTTCGAAATTGTGTCTGAAACCGCTTGAATTATCGCAAACTGTGTTCCCGATGGATTACAAAAATGCTCACTGATGTTTCACAAAACAAAGCGACTTGTAGTGCCCTGACATTTCTCACGTGGTACAATGATGAGGGAGAAAACTTTTTAAACCAAATTGTATCAGGTTATGAAACTTGGGTGTGTCATTTCACACCAGAATCGAAATAACAATCGATGGAGTGTAGACACACTCATTCTCCGAAAAAACAAAAGTTCAAAGTGACAATGTCATCACAAAAAATCATGTGCACTGTCTTCTGCGATAGGAAAAGCGTTTTGCTTACTAAATTTCTTCCCAGAGGTGAAACCAATAATGCAGCATGATATTGTGAGACTTTAACAAAACTAAGGTGTGCCATTCAAATCAAACGAAGAGGAATGCTCAGTAAAGGAATTGTGTTGCTCCATGACAATGCTCGGCCCCATATTGCTGGTGTCACTCAATCATTAATTCGACAGTTTCATTGGGAGCAGTTCGATCACCCGCCGTACAGCCCGGACTTGGCGCCGTCCGACTATCACTTGTTCCTGCACATGAAGCGCGAGCTTGGTGGCAAGCACTTTGGATCTGACGATGACACGAAAAAATGCGGTGGGAGTCATGGTTTATCGAAACTGGCGGAAGTTTCTTTGACTGGTATACAAAAACTGGTCACCCGCTATGACAAGTGTTTGATCATTGGCGGAAACTATGTTGAAAAATAGTTTAGACATGTATTTTCATGTAAAAATAAAATTGGATTCGAAAAAACTGTTTTACTATTTTTTTTTCTTTTTCAAAACGGTACTTAGTTTCCAAATATGCCTCGTATATACAACTTGTGATCAATAAATACAGTATAAAGTCCAAAATCCAGCTGTCCATTATCCGGAATGATCTAAAATCCGGACCTCAAAGCCAGAAACTTTTTTTTTGTATGCTTTACGCATGCACATTTGATTTTTCCTTCCATAATAAAACATGTAGAGATTTTTCACTTAAAAATTCCGATTCTTAATTTCACTTATGCACTAAATAAATATCTCATTATGGAAAAACAATCATGTAAGCATAAATTTATGAGATTAATTAATTTGGCTGTGTAGTTACATCTCAAACCCAAACAATTACCTATTTTACATCCCTGACGCTGACCTGTCTAGTCATTATTTATTATACCTATTTTGCTTTCATCACTGCGTGTTTATCAGTACGTGACAGCTTCAGTAATAACTCATGCGGAGATGTCTAAGCTTTTGTTATATTAGGAATTGAATAACAAGAGTATGACTCCTTTTATTGCTAACATTACACTTGGCGATGATTATAGATTTTTAAATGCTCTAAGAAATAATGCCACGGAAAAATTTAATAAAAATTTCATTTCCTATGCTAAAAATAGATTTTTGTTAATGAAACTCATAGGCCAAAAGATTACATTTAGTGCTGTTTTAATTAAGAATATCTGATATGTTTATTCACCATAAACCCAGAAACGCCGGCAGAATATGTCGGCACCGGATGGCAGAATTTAGGGAAGACGAAATTTTTGGAATTTGGGGAAGAACCAGGTGGCAAAATTAAAGAATGAGACGTTTTTTATGATTTAGGGAATGCACTGGGATCCAAAGTTAGGCGCAGTGAAAATTGAGAACTTAGGAAGGCACTTTCTAGCAGAATTTGGGACCCGTAGAGACTGCACCAAGCGGTATCTAGTATCAGCCCTAGATAAAGCCCTAAGTATATGTCGGAGTTTATTTAATTCATTACTCAGATTAGTTTTAAACATGTGTAAGATAGTAACCGTAGGTATAGTAAATAACTAAACTAATACAATGTGTCGTTCACGTAAATATTGAATAAAGTGAGTCCAAGCAGACTCCCCTGGGGGACCCCAGCAAATATAGTAATGTATAGGCTTAATGCAATACGCAATAGGAGCAAGACATTATCTTTACTAATTCTAAAGCATTTTAGTTAATGTTCAGTTCAGATTACATTGCTCCCTAATCTCCTAATTGATCCAGCTTATTATTTTTTGCAGACTGTTATTATTATGCCAGTTTTATAAAAACTAAGCTTGAACTTTCAATTATATCACTCATTTACAAATTGCACAACCTGGGCTTCCCAGGCTACATCACAAACATAGTTAAATCCTACCTAACTGGTAGACACTTTGTCGTTCGCAGCTTGAACACACTATAAACACGTAGGACAATATTTTCTGGGGTCCCCCAGGGACGTTTGCTTGGACCCACTTTATTCAATATTTACGTGAACGACATTCCCACCACACAGAACACAACACTTGCAATGTATGCAGACGACACTGCGATCCTCTCACAAATTGCATTCATTAGCCCAGCAATACAAAGAATACAAGACTACATAAACATACTTGAAACTTGGCTGACAAAATGGAAAATCAGAGTTAATGTAGATAAGACTCGAGTGATCGCTTTTACCAAGAACAAATTCAATAAAAACCTGCAACTTTACGAAGAAGATATCCCGTGGGCCAAGCAAGTCCCTTATCTTGGGGGGGGGGATCCTCAGTAAAACTCTCTCATGGTACCTACAGGTAACATCTATCCTTAAAAAGTTTCAAGTTAGTAAAGCTACACTTCACCCCTTAATTTCTTGAAACAGTGTACTTTCAATAGATAACAAGTTGCTTATTCGTAAAACTATTGTTTCCCATACTATGTTATGGCTGCCTGATTTGGGCATATTCATGCAAATCATATAGGAAAAAAGTTACAGCAGGCACAAAATTGAGTCCCAAGACAGATCAGCAACTCGCCCTGGTACGTTCGAAATCAAAAACTTCATGATGAATTAGGCATTGAAGAACTGAAATATTTTTATTGCCAGCTTGCTTGTAATTTTTATGCTAACCTCGCAAGTATCAACAACCCTGTTATAAGGGTCCACAATTATGATTTAAATGACCCAAATAATTGTAAGCGATGTATTGCCATACTTAGTGCTCAGATTGTTTAATTTGAATTACTTTACTGTACTTTATGACTTATGCTATGATTTAAGTGCACCAGTTGACTCACGCTATCTGTATTGTATGTACAGTCAAAAGTCTTTTATCCGGACTCGTCGGCACTTCGTCAGTTCCGAATTATCGATTTTTCCGAATTATAGATCATCAGTTTAAATCTGGTAAGATGACTGCAGATTATAAAAATTAAAAATGAAACCGTATTTATGAAATAAGGACAATTATGTATCTAAAGGGTTATCAAAATTTACAAAAAAAAAAAAAGCTTAATATTATGTTTTACTTTATTAAACATTTCTCTCAACGCGTATGCGTTAAAGCATACATTACCATAGTCGAAATTAGAAAATTGCAACCAAAAACTATTTGTGTGTATTCGTGATATTTATAATGACGAGGAATTTGATTTAAATCTATCAAAGACGGAGTACATCGAGATGAAAAACTACATTTAGTAAGGTATAGTTATAAGACAAATAAAAGAAAAACATCTGCCCTGAAGATAAGGATAGTGCTGACAGATCAACTTCCAGTTCATTGCGCGCTGCGACAATCCCCCCCCCCCCACACACAGAGCAGCGTGAAATTGATAAATAGATTTCGGAACGGTTAGAGAAACAAACGATATGCCTTTATCCATTTTTTGCAGTAATTCCACATTTTGTTTGATAGACATCGAAACATGCTTTCGCTTTGTAGATCCTTTGGCAGCTCCAGAATCGGAAATTCTTTTTGACATAATCGTAAGTTCAAGCTTACTGTTATAAAATTGCTCTAACAGTCTGCCAAAAATAATAAGCTGGATCCAATTAGAAGATTAAGGAACAACGCAATCTGCAACATTAACTGAAATAGATAATTAGATAATTTTAGCTTAGATTATACCTTCCGTTATACATAAATGCACATGCGTAAACCTATTATGCGCATGCGTAAAGGTATTACGCGCATATGCGTTAACGCATGCTCAGAAAGTTTTAGCTTTGAGGTCCGGATTATAGATCATTCTGGATTATGAGTGTCCGGATTAAATACTTTTGACTGTATTATGTGTATCTTTAGGACTCAGGTTAAAGCCAGCTGTTTTCCCCTTTCTCAGTTCTCCTAGATGGCATTTTCAGGTCTTTATTGGAACTCAGCACACACTTTATTTCTGCTAGAATATCTTATTATCCCATTACTAAGAAATATAATCATAATTTATTAAAAAGTATTATATCTTATGTTATGTCATGT